TTTCACTTAGGGTTTTTTGCGTTATGAGTTTGTGGGGGGCTTTATGTCGGAAATTTCCATTTAAAAGGAGATCTTTAAACGAAAACGCGACGTACAATTATTGACAACAAGAAGAGCACTTTTCTATCCGCCATTTTGCTTCTCCCAGAATTCCACTGCAGTCGCAAGCTAATTTCCATTGTTTCTCGGTCCCGCCCTCTCCCCGCCTCCAGACCAGTTAGTCACGTGATCAAAACACAATACTTTCTGGGCCGCCATACAAACGTGGAGGAAAGAGCAGTATTATTTCGCTTTTCTACGTTCTTCATCAGTAATGGTCGATTACATCAAATCGTTTGGCAGGGAGCAATCACGACAACATAAACAAAGAGCAGTTTTACGCACCTTCGATGTACAAAGCTTGAATTTCTGTCTGGAAGGGAAGACCCAAAGAGACGACTGTACAAGCTAAGCTAAGTGTTCAAGTTTATAAGTGATTGTGTTTCTGTCAATGATAGATGGATATAATCCGACGGTAAATACAGATCAGAGGTTGTGTGCTGGAGAAAAAACTTATCATTGGTTGCTCTTAAAATCTGGGTCGGTAATTTACATGGACACTTTTTTCGATTGACCTTTAGACTTGTATTAACTACCAGAAAATTTAGATTAATGTTAAGGCGACTTTGGGCGACTTTAGGTCCCAGAGTAGGCCTTCAACCTGCATTTGACCTTGCAGAGCCGTTTGAATAGAAGGTTCATTCGACGTTGTAGCTCTGAAATCTCAATTTTCTGATCCAAAGTGAGACCTGCCTAGTTGATTTTCTGATTCTCGAGCAAACTTTCACCTCTGAACGGTTGTTTCACCGAGCTATTTAGCTCGAAACGTGACACAGTTTCACCTCTTTTGAGCTTCGGATTGTTAGCATGGGATTCAAAAATGGCCGCATACCAGCAGTTTCTAAAGCACATTTACTGGAATTTTATGGAGTCCGCCATCTCAGGGATTGGAATATGGCTCAGTTTGTGAGTCAGTGCCAGTAGTGAATTAGGTAAGCCGTACTTTTGACAAAATCTGCTTGAGATAGATCCGTTACGCTAAATCTGAAAATATTGTATTAGCTCGCATACGCGTTGATACAAACGGTCATAACTTTTAAAATACTGAAATGGTACATGGGGTTTTGTATATTATTAATACCAGATGGCCTATCTTTGCATCTATTTAGTCTAGAGCTTCCAACTATGTTCCAAACGTCAGAAATAAGCTTTTGAAACAGGGTCATTTTTAGCCTTTCGCTCCAACGCAATTAGTTGGGGTCATATTTTGCTTGATTTCGTCCTTCCAGCTAAATTTAGCGGATAACTATTACTTTCAGGAAAAACTAGAGATATTTACCTATAAATAGGTAGAAAATTCATTGGTAGGTGGTGCAAATCAAACATTTTACAGCGCCGCAAAAAATGCCAAATTTTCAGTTTTTAAGACGTGCAAAATGGCCGTGGCGGGACAAAATACTCGTGGCCCCCCAGCGCGGCCAGAAAATTATTGTGAATCAAAGCAAACCTATTTTAGTTATGTTCTCGATAAAGCCTTTCACTCGCCAAAGTTTCAGGCAAAATTATTTTTCACGCGAAATTGAGTGGGCGGTTTTTACTGAGACAGCCTCTTAAATCAATGTATAGATCAATTAATGTCAATCACGATTCTTGTCATCAAAGAAATCTATCAATAACAGGCAACGCCTGGTTGATAAACGAAACAGAAGGGAGACCTCGAGTACCTTGCATTCCCATTTCCACGGTTTTATTCCTTGGCTTCATACCCTTTGCCGTTTTTTAACAAATAATATTTACTGTTTTCTGTAATTTTCCTCCTTCGCCCACCTCTCACCCGTTCATAATTCCCTCCTATCGTCCTCTTATTTCCCGCCTTCTGTACCCCTCTAACCTCTTAATCTTTCGAGCTACCCCATCCCTGTCGTCGTTTTCTAGGTCGTCGTTTTCTAGGCCATCGTTTTCTAGGTCGTCGTTTTCTAGGTCATCGTTTTCTAGGTCGTCGTTTTCTAGGTCATCGTTTTCTAGGTCGTAGGTCTTCGTTTTCTAGGTCGTCGTTTTCTAGACACCGATCAACATGTTATACCCAGACTTGTGGGTAAATTAAAATATTTTTGTCTTTTTACATCACCCATCCCCTGAGTTAAGCTCTTTCAATGATTATCCTTTTTTGTGTGAGAAGGAAATGCTGCTTGATCTAAGGACTTAAATGTTCAAGAGGGAAAAAATGATAACATAGTCTCAATTTATGCTGATAATGCCTTTTTTCTGTTAGATTGCATTTGATCGCCTTTACTCTCAAGCTTCATCAAGAGACAAATGTACATTGTATAGCGATCGCAATCTTATAAATAGATGAAATGTCAAGTCACGTGTTGATGCTGCTGTCAAACCAGCCCACAGTTTCTTTGAGCTTTGCTTGAAAGCAAGAGTGATTATTTTGAACACTGCTCAAAATAAAATTCTTGCAGACAGGATTTTGGAATAGCAGATAGATGACCAGGCAGCAAATGTAGATAATTCTAATGAGCGTGATGACATGCTGTCATATCAGAAGTCTTTCATGGAATATGTTCTTCTTCTTCTAAATTTCAAAGATGCTGTGGCTGAAGGGGATGGGGAAAGGAATCTTCGTTGCTGGAAATTTTTCCTGCTTCATCTTAAAAATGACAAAAGAAGCAAAAAGTATGCACTTGAAGCCTTATTCTACGTGTTTCAAGTGTATGCATTGTTAAGTCCCAAGCTGGCAACAAACTGATTTGGAACCGTTCAGCAAACCTGAAAAACAGCCTAGGAGGAAAAAAACCTCTGGATTTGCTGTTAGAGTTTTTTAACAGGCTTCTGAAAGATTTTGTTAAGAAACTGGGACCACATGCCTCTCAGAAGTCCGATAGGATATGCAGGTCAATTGGCATTACAAAGGAGCTCATGGAAAGTTTCGATGCAGAGCTACAGATTTATAAGCGGTCAGGAAGACATGTTAAAAAATCATCAGCTGAAGATCTGAAGAAGGTGGTAAAGGAACTTGTAGACAACGCACTGATATTGGTTATTACAAGCTGGCAACTTAATTATCAAGAATTTAATATAGTGTTGAAAAGTTTAATAATACTGTTGTAGACATAAACAATAATAACTCAGTTCTGAAGAGTATTCCGTATACTTCTATTTACATGAAATCAGCTGTGAAATTGCCCTTGAACAATAATTGTATCATTCTATTTTTTAAAAAAAATTTTTTTGTAATATTTTTTCTTTATGTTCTTCCTCTGGAAGGTAGTAAGGAATAGAATAACATTGTTTATTCCGAGCATTATAATTATTACTTAAGGAACAGTGACTGTGATCGATACACCATGAGAAGGTAAAGTACAAGAAGACTTCTTGACCACTCTTTTAAAGTCTTGAATGCACTAAAAATAACAAGGCATCAACGACTGTTGTAAATCAAATTATGGAAACTATTTTATTGAGTCAAGGTAGATTATTAATAATTTCCCCCAAGAAACTACTGCTATTAAGGCTTG